TTGAGAAAGAATCATAACTCCACCTCCCATTGAATCATTTCTTGCATAATAGGAACATAATTTATAACCATTAAAGTTTAGTAATTTAATTTCAGATTCCGTCATTTTGTGTTCTGAAAGTGCTACGATTTGAGGTTCAATTTCGAAAAGATGGATTTTTAAAATTTCTAGTCTAGATCTAGCTGTACATTTAGGTGAAATATAGAAAATTTTGATTGACTATGCTTAGCAAGTGACCGTTGGGAAGACGTGGAGACTAATTGTTGGTTAAAGGTCTTTACTTGTTTATCATCAACTGTACAGGGCTGTATTTGTTTATTAATACCTTGGGGATTGAAATTGTTTCCATTACATATAAAATTTAAATTTACGATTTCATAGGTGTTCAGGAGGTCCCGGGTTCGAATCCATCCGGGGACATTACAGTTTTGTCAAAGATTTTTGCTTAGAATTCGAATACTTCTTAACTGTACATCTTTTGTTATAATTTGATGCATTTATAATTTTATTTATGAACAGAACTTTTTTTTTAAATATTGAACCATTATTCGATTTTTATCTTATATCTTTTTTATAGTATCAGCAAGTTTGGTTGGTTAGGTTAGGTTATGGCAGTTTAATTTTATAATGCTAAATTTTAAAATTAATTTTATAATAAAAAATTATAAGTTATCATTAATTAGATTTTTATTTTATATAGTTTTTGTATTATCAGCAAGTCTGGTTGGTTAGGTTATGCTATGACAGTTTAATTTTAAAAATTAAAAACTAATTTTATAATTTATTAAAAATTATCCATCTATAATATTAAAACGAAACAGTGTTTTTTATTTCACGATTCTGAATCAACAACTCGACGGATTTTCATGATTTTTGAGTTGAAAGAAAGATAATTTTGAGAACTAGGGAATGTCGAATCCATTAATTTAGTTTAGGGTCCCAGTTTTTTTTAGAAATTAAGTTTTAATTTTTAAAAAGTCTAGCAGCCGACGATAAGATTCTAAACTAGCTTTGGACCTACGGTATCCAACTCTGGGGAACCACTTCCAACTCAAACATAGAAATAGTTCAAAGGTTTCAATCGAAAACACTGAGAAAAATTTTACAAGCACCTTGGTTTGTCACAAATAAAGTAATTCATCAAGATACGAAATTACCCTATGTTAAAGAAGAAATAAAGAAACGAAGTGAAAAATACCAAAGAAAATTAGAAACCCATCCAAATTTCCTGGCTGTTAACCTCCTCGACAATAGTGAAGCTACATATAGGCTCAAAAGATTTCATCCAATAGACATTCCAAATCGTTTTTAGTTAAACTTTTTAAAAGTTTTTGTATGTTAGTGCACTTGATGGAGTGTAACTAACCCATGTTAAAATGGTTATTGAATTTACTTATTACTAGCTGTGTACCCGTTCTACGCACGGGGATCTTATAATATTCAGTTGAAACCTTCTTATATAACGAACAGCAGTTGGTTTGCATATTTTAAGATATGCTGGCCAAACTATTATACATAGCTTCATTTTATGTTGTTTTTTGTTGTTCCGGATCGGTATGACAATCAATAAAAGGTTAAATTACCTCTGTGTCTGCCGGTCGATCCTATAACGGTAGGCTTACTTTTATTTTTACTATCTGATCTCGTTTGCATGGCTCAATCACGTCCTGGTTGAAGTTCGTTCGCTACGCTCACTCACCTGTATGTTGGAGCTCGTTCGCTGCGCTCACTTTCCTTCAGGTTAGCTCGTTCGCTACGCTCACTTGCCTTCAGGTTAGCTCGTTCGCTACGCTCACTCGCCTCCAGGTTGCAAATTAGCTGTTGTCATAAATGTAAAAGAAATAATAGTGCTAGTGCTGCACCCTGTTGGTAATCCTTGTAACTTTAATGCTATTGAACATCACAGAACAGAACCAACTTGTTTAATTGAAACAGCTGTTAAGATTCAATAATTTCATTTCTCATAAGGTTAACATGGGCTTCCAGAAATTCCACGTCAAAAATCGACAAAAACTTGATTTTCAAGGGTTTACTGTTAAATATCTAACTGTCTCATATTCGATGAAATACGTCTAAAACCATCTCATATATGTATAGTATTTGGAAAATAAGTTTCAGGCGGGACAGTGCTATAGTTATTGAGGAGTAGTTGTAATAAAGTGCGTATTTTAGCGTTACCAAGAGAATGACAGATAGACAGACAGACAGACAGACAGACAGACAGACAGAAATTGAGATAAGGTTTGATTCGGTTTCTCTGACCTATGAAATGTAAAAATAACCAAAAAGTTCATTATTCTAAGCAATGTACAGACAAAACTCTAATTTTATTTATATAGATTCTCGTGTTGAATAGATTGTAAATAAATACTTGTTAAAAAAAAAAAATTTTTTTTTGGCATAACATAATTTGCTTAACATAACAGCTGTAAACATTCAGCTTTTGTGTCACAAATTCAGCACTTGGATAAAAATGTAAAGACATACTTAGGGTTGACTTATTTATACTATGTGTAATGCAAATCATTGATACGTTCAATTCTTCTGTAAGAGGATGACAGATTAATTAAATTATACATAGTAAAATACTAGGATGTTCAAATTATTTTTTTAAAGCAAACTTTGTAATCTTCGATTTGTTTTAGAGCAATATAATTTGTTTTAACTAACAGCTGGTTAAATATAAACTATGGAACTATGAGGTTATTTTATTTACTCTTATTTTGTCATTGATTATAGGAAATAAGTAAGATAAGTAGAGATAATTAGACCACAGTTTAAAATAGTTTAGACAAAAATTAATTAAACCACAGTACAAATCGAGGCTCTGTACACGAGTCTTAATAAAACAGGGATAAATGCAAATTATTTTACTCTTTCTTTTTTCGAAAAAAGAATAGAAAAATAACAATGTTTACATGTTTTAATTCTCATGGTAGCTTTTTGTTTACAATTAATGTTTGTCTGCTTTAACTTTGTTTGGATTAGGTCCGGAAATATTGATGTCATAAAAAGAAGATCAAGACTAATCAGGAATCACGATTTTAAATTACCACCACATCCTCAGCCGAGTTGTATACAAAGATTGAACACAACGTCAACATTGACCTAAGGATACTGCATTAGACAAACCATCCTTTTATGAAATCGTGTTCAGTGTGGTTACGTTTGGCAGTGCCTATCAGCACATATAGAATATAGTAAATCAGAACGCACTAAACAGATTAACAGAATCATATTATATACTGTAGTATCAAAAATATAAGTATTGCGACCATTGCAACTGTCGGCTACTCTTTCACCACTTGAAAACACCCATAATCATCATAAGCGCAGATAGCTCAGGAGGAAAGGTAAGAGGCTCATAAGGCGAAGGTACCAGGTTCAAGACCCGTCTGGGCCAAAAACTTTTTTCTCGTTTTTTTCGTCAAAATTTGTGTTTATTAACTATTTAATCAATTTACTCAACTGATAATTAAACTTTTCATACTAAATCTATATTATTTTGTGTTTTTTATGTTCAGGCCCAGACCACACTTTATCCCAGCGTCATCCCATAGTAGTCCCATATGTCCTGAGAATGTCCTGAGGACTACCCTGGGATGACCTCGGATGTCCCACGGATATGCTGTGAGCTTATCCGTAGGACATCCCCGGGCGGGGACATTACGCATTCCTGCGGATATCCTGGGATATCCCAAGTTGACCATAGGACTACTATGGGATTTCTTGCATATCCTGTCGCAATATCCGTGGGATGTCCTGAGGAGAAAGTGTGCTGTCTGGGCAATGCCATCGCTCTAAAAAAGACTCTTTATTGCTCCCTTATCCGACAGCTGTTGGGGTATGCCAGCCCAGTTTGGTCACCCTTCCACTTAGGGCCCATCAACACACACGAAGGTATCCAGAAGAAATGCATACATCCGATTTCTCAGTGCCCGTCAAGGCATGCAGTACCGTGAAGTCCCAGTGACCGTCTTCCAAAACAATTTAAACCTGTTAGATCTTCACTTGAGACGCTGTGTGGCAGACGTTGTTTTCCTCAATGGCCAAATTGACTGTCCCGCTTTACTTGCCGAAGTGGACCTCCGTATCGTGTGCCTTATAGAACCCATTCACAAGATCTGTTCAGCAAGAGGCACTTCAGTAGCCATGACGATTATCACGCTCCTGCTCCTCTTGCAAGATTTCTTCGTCTTGGTAACAATTTGGGGGCCAGTATCGACTCTTCTGAGACACCATATTTTGGGACTTTTCGAAAGAAGGCTATCGTCCGGTTGACTTCCCTGCGCCAGCAACAAAATTTGTTATAGGTTGTTATATTTGTTATGTATAGATAGGTAGAATATTTTTTAATCAATGTGCATGTAAACTATGAGTGGTGTTTCTTGTTCTTTTCTCTTGTTAAAAGTGTGTGCGGGAGGGACAGGTTCAATCCCCGGTACATCCACAAAACTTTAATGGGTTTGCACCGCTTTCCCTCAAAAAACTTCATTACCTTCATCAACTGACTTCATTACCTACAAAAATGCCACTGGCGTAGATACGAGCAAAAAATGTTTATTTATATATATCTGTTATTCATCATATTTTTTTCTGTTATATAACTATTTATTGAATTGTATAACTGCATATTTATTTATTAGTTTAAGATTATAACAATCGTTACCAATCCATTTTTGTAATGGTATTTGGCCGTTGGAATGGAAATAAAAAAAAATAAAATTGTTATCAGTGGCGGATCTAGAACGGTCACAAGGGGGGGGGGGCGAAACGTAGTGTCTGGTGGATTCGGGGGTACTCATAGTGATGAACATATAACCATAGATATAACATACTCCTAAAGGAGTATGTTTTATCTATGACATAATATATTTACATACCTGACCGAATTACTTGCTATTTACTCAATGCTATTAAGCAATAATTATCATATATCACTACTTACCTCTGTATAACGTTTTCTACCATCGTCTTCTACGTGACGTGTACACTTTCTAGAAAAACATTTCTGGACTTTTGTTAAACTGTCAAGTGTCAAGTTGTTTGATGTGTCAAGTGATGCAAATTAGTGTATTTTCAAAGGAAGAATAATATTCTAGACTATAGTTTTAAGTAAATATAGTGTTCAACAGTTTCCTCGCAATTACTATTACTGTAATTCTTAAATAGCCAAATTACTCATAATATTTCCCAACACAAATCACAAAAATGGGTCTTCTTGAGCCTACAATGTACACTGTTAAAGGAATAGTAATACTAAACAATGATGGAAAGCGTGTTTTGGCAAAATACTATGATCCCAATGTGTTGAGTACTGTAAAGGAGCAAAAAGCATTTGAGAAGGATCTTTTCAACAAAACACATCGTGCAAATGCGGAAGTCATAATGTTGAATAGCCTCATCTGTACATACAGATCAAATGTGGACTTGTTCTTCTATGTGATTGGAAGCTCTCAAGAGAATGAACTGATCATATTGAGTGTCCTTCAATGTCTCTTCAACTCTGTTAGCCAAATCCTCCGCAAAAATGTAGAAGAAAGAGCTTTGATGCAAAATCTCGACATAGTGATGCTCACCATCGATGAAATTTGTGATGGAGGGATTATTATGGAAGCTGATCCAGCTGTTATTGTGCAAAGGGTTGCGCTAAGAACAGAAGACATTCCTCTTGGAGAACAAACAGTTGGGCAAGTATTCCAGTCTGCTAAAGAACAGTTAAAATGGTCTTTGTTGAAGTGAAAATAAGTGAGACCTCCTTGTAAATTACGATTCATTCTATGTTTATTAAATATCGTGCTACCAAATCAAACTCTTGCATTTTTTACTGCCAGTATTATAGCCTACTTAAAGCAACTCGGTCAAAATCCGTTAACTTATCTGCCCGAAACTCTTTTTTTCCAATTAGGTTAAGTTACATATTTAAAGGCCTTTAACTTATTGAAACCTTTTGTAGAGGTACCGTAGTAAATAATGAAAAGTTAGGTTAGGGACAGGCTTAACTGAATTTAAATTTACCCTAAGTTTAACCGTTATCTCATTGTTGGGACAGGTCAGTCGCCGGTCTCTACCAGCAGCGTTTAGTGAACCATTTTCTGTAACTTATGATATGGGAAAGATTTGATTTAACGGAGAAAACAATATCATCCGCAATAAGTTACCTTTAAAATTTAATATATTAGGGTCTAGTAGGCCTAGGCCTATTTTAGTTGAAACATCATACTAGGCCTATCACTAAGTAAGAATATGGATTCGTAGGCTACCAGTTAGAAAGTCAACACCTAAAAAATTGCTGTAGGCCTAAGGTGTTGCGGGCAGATAAGTAGGCTAGGTAACGGATTGACTCTAGGAACTCTGTTAAGTATAATGTTATTAGGGCCTAGTTAAGTTAAATCAGTTAGGTAATGTCCAAGTTATTTCTCATGAAGCACGTGGATTGATAACTTATACATTGGCCCAAGGACAATACTTTGATGTCCGATTCTATCGTAATTTATCCTATTTGAGAAAAATATCTAGGCCTAACTATAAGTTAGTAGGCTAAGTATACTACTTTTAGCAAATTTCCCTATTGGGAATATTAGCGAATTTACCTTTAGGTTAAAAGCTATTACCGTAGTATTACTCATGGTAAGACCTGGACTCGGGACCGATTTACTTTTTTGTTTTGAGGTCCCTCTAGAGGCCAAAAACACCATCCGTTCAAATTCATATATAGCCTATATAGGTACGTATATTTATATATACAGTGGAACCTTGATAAGAAGACCCTCAAATAACAAGTCACCCTTGATAACAAGTGTCATTTTCAAATCCCCTTAAAATAATTTAACAATGTCGTCTTCGACCAGCGCCACTCAGGAATAGCGTTTTCTGAAATAGGTTACTCATTCAGCTTCCTTTATTATAAACACCTTTTTATAAACACGATGGCTTTTAATGAAACCCCCAAACACACAGTTTTGATTAAGAGCTCAAATGAGCAAGAAAAACGTTGGAAGTGGAGCGGAACCCTTTTGTTCGTAGCTCCAAGGTTCAGAGGTCGCCCCCACCGAAAAACGTGAGGACATCTCCGCCACCTGCACCTTTCAAATGCACTAAGGAGTTCCCCCATTTAGGATCTCCTTATTCTCCTTTGGCAAGTGGAGCTGGGAACGGTGCGGAAAACGTTGGAGATGCAGACGTCGAAATGGCGTGGCCAGCAATCAGTTCTGCTGTAGGGATGCCGGAGGAGCCTTTCACTGCAACATTGCGGTCAGAAGACCCTGAGATGGTACTTCTGCGTCAGGAATATCTTGACGCAGAGAGTAGCATCAAAACCCGGCTCCGAGACATGGCAGAGACAATTAAGGCTATGCTGGACACCTTCCGGACGCAGAAAGCCGTAAATCAATTGGTCTCTAGAATCTACCAAGTACTAGCCAGTTACTGGTAAGTTCTGACCAGTACTGGTGAGTTCTGGCCAGTACTGGCTGGTTCTGGTCCAGGTTCTAACCAATACTGGCCAGAACCTGGACAGTACTGGGCAGTACTGGCCAGAACCTGGGTAGTACTGGCCAGAACCTGGGTAGTACTGGCCAGAGCCTGGGCCAGAATTAAGGGCAATCAGAAACACAGATGTTTCCAAGGTCTTACAAGGAAGCAATGGTGTTGGATGATGCATCTGACTGGAAGGCTGCTATGGAAGATAAAATAAAATCTTTCCATGAAAATAAAACTTGGATTTTGGTGGATAAACCAGAAGGAGCTCATGTCCTGGGATGTCGTTGGGTACTTCGAACCAAACCTAATTCTGATGGTTCTCATGAAAAATACAAAGCTCGATTATAAGCCAAGGGATATGCACAACGTGAAGGAATTTACTATAATTTATAATAAACTGTATACAAACATGACAAATGCATACAGGGACAGTAAGGTGGAGATAAAAATAAATAAATACACAAAGCCTAAAAAATGCTGGATTACCCAGACAATTCTAAATATGATAAAGGAGAAAGTAAAGCTTTTAAATTATTTAAGTCCCATCCAAATGAAATCCATTACAGAGAAAGATATAACAGATTGAGAAACCAAGTAAATAAAGAAATATACAAGGCAAAAAGAAATTTTTATCACAAGTATTTTGATAAGAATAAGAAAGACATTAGAAACACATGGGAGAAAATTAACTCATTATTAGGAAAACGTAAAAAAAAGAAAGTAAAGATGGTATTGTGATGAAATACGTGGCAAGAACGTTAACAGAACAAGAGATATGCGATAGATTTGCTAAAAGCTTCAAGTTATTCATGACTGTTCAATTACAACATTTTTTTAGAATATGCCAACAAAAGAATGTAGATCCACATTTTATGTAGGGGAGACTGGGGCACATATGAACATGGGGCACATTTGAACGGTTTAAATTTCCCGTCATTTTTATACTCGCAGGCCATTGGACCAGATGTAAAATGAAGCCCTCCAATAGGGCAACTGGTTGCATTCATCTCCCTCCATTTCTGATCAGTTCTTAGTTTGTTGTTGGGAAAAGAAGTTTTAGAGCGCCATAAGAAAAGTTTTTAAGCAGTAGGGATTTGTAAATTTTCCATAGAAAAACTATATTACAGATAAGTTTGATCCATTTACCTAATAGTCCAGGACCTGACTAGGGTTCTGTGTGCATGTCGTGTATAGAGAATTTTGCTTTTGCATTTCAATATAGGTGTCTTAGGAAGTGTTTTCCACTCGGGTGTCAAGTTCGCACCTGGTACGTTTTCGAGCTATGACGTCATCAAAATGGCGGCCATTGATTTTTTTAAATCGTATATTTCGCAAACTATTTGTCGGATCGGAATAAACTTTTTTTTGTTTGAAAGATAATTTTAAATGCTACCTGTTTTACATTTACACATTTGTTGTATGTCTAGTACAATCTTCGTAATTATGCAAAAACCTGTATTTTTAAATATTTTTGTGTTATTTTTGTTTGTAACGTTTTATTGATACAATTTATCAAAAACCACCAATGAAAAAAGTTGTAGAACGTTTAAAAATCTTTAAAAAAATACCAAATTCGATATATTTTACTCAAAAGATTACGTCAAGAAACTAGATAAATCTCATAAAAACACCAATTTTGGCGCAAAAACGCCTATTAGTCCGGCATTTAGGGCAGTTCGCAAGTCTTATAAAGACAGTTTTACCATTCAATGTTGATGTAAGTGTCTAAATAAGTGTTTTCAACTCGGGTTTCACGTCTGCACCCACTGCAGTTTCCGGTTATGACGTCATTAAAATGGCGGAAAGGGCTATATTAAAAATAACTATATTTTACATACCATGTATCGGATCGGAATGAACTTTTTTTTGTTTGAAAGATAAGTTTACATGCTATCTTTCTTACTTTTACACTTTTGTTGCATGTTTATAGTCTGATTTTTACCGGAGTGCGGGTGGAGCTCAGCCCTACCTGCGAGGGACCCGACTCACGCACGCACACTCACCACCGTCCTAATTGCCTGAAAGCCCCGATCCCCTATTCACTAAGTAGAAATATAACATCTGTTGTATGATACCTCAAAATTGCAATTCATTTGATGTTAGATATACAGTAAAATGGTTAGTATTGATAAATTTGTTGTTTGATTCAATGAAAAATGAGTCCAAACACGAAATGATTATGACAAGGAGCTAGCTAATAAAACGTGTTAAAATATTCGTAGCTTTTACACTTTGTAAGCAAAATATATATTGTTTGGTATCATTTTACTAAGCATTTTGAGCTGAAGTCAAAAGCGTTACCAGATTTTATAACAAACGTAAAATTTAAAAAATTGATAATTTAATTTCCGTGAGCCACCGATGACTCGAGTGGCAGGACAATGGTCCGTCCCACGTCCGTCCTAATCCCTTGCGTCTGTGTGTGTGAGGCCTGCGTGTGTGTGAGTAGGGTCGACCCTTCAGCCAGCCGCTTTCCGTCAACAATCACACTATAGTACATTTTTCGTAATTTTGCAAAAACCTATATTTTTAAACATTTTTGTGTTATTTTTGTCAATAACGTTTTATTGATACAATATATCAGAAATAACTTAGAGACAAAGTTGTAGCACGTTAAAAGAGCTTTACAAAAATACCAAATTCGATATGCTTTACTCAAAGGATCACGTCAAGAAACTAGAAAATCGTACAAAACAACCTAATTTGGTGCAAAAACGCATATATATCCGACATCGATGGCTGTGTACGAGTCATATATAGACAGTTTTACCATTCAATGTTGATGTATGTGTCTAAAGAAGTGTTTTTAACTCGGGTGTCACGTCTGGACCCACTGCAGTTTCCGGTTATGATGTCTTTAAAATTGCTACATGTTACGATTTCACCAACTATTTTACTTAAAATAAGACCATTACCCTCTTTTATGAACGATGCAGGATTAACCTCCAGTCGGCATCCAGTTCAGATCGTGGCAATGTCAACCGGTACCGTGTGTACGACAGACCTGTTCGTTGTGTTTTCGTTAGTAATTGTAAAAGTAAAATGTTATTCGTGTTCGTGTTTTGTGTTTCAACTATGACGACGCTACTTCAGCTGAATGTTCAACGTCTGACGATGGCATTATAATGCCGAAACGGCCGTAACTCAAGTTACAACAGATTGAGCTGTAGACGAAGGTAAATACCTATTTTTAATTAATATCACAGCTCAGGGGCTAAAAATGGATTTTAATAAATGTAATAATATTTTTATTAAAAACACATAAATTCACCTATTAAAAATTAAAGTTTAAAAAGTGTTCAAATGTGCCCCACCCCTACCATCTATAAA